CTGACGGTTCGGCCCCCCACGCGTCCTTTTCTTGCCTTTCGTTCCTCCCCCCATGTCCTCCTCAAGATTGGGTCCTCGTTTCTCGTCCTTCTGTTGTTGTCCTGTGAACCATGCCACGTGAGCGCATCCCATGTAGCTTGCACACCATATATCGGCGCCCGAACGGTCATTATCCCGGCAAGTTTGGGCCAACTCCTCTTGCCACTTGATGCAAAGGGTACGTCTCACTGTGTAAGGTCACTCCGCTCGGAGGTCCGAAGCCTGTGCCGGGGAGCTTCCAAAACTCGGTGGCGATTTGCCCATGGACAGCATGCCATATCTTCGCTTGACCCCTCAGCGCTTCTTTTTCACTTATTCAAAGACGTTGTTGTGGAAAGAGGCCACACACACGAGTGGGGCCACTTTCGGAGGACGCACGCCCCGATGGAAAGGGGGGCGGCACCTGGAGACGACGGAGAGGCCTTGCCGGACTGCTAGGAGGGCGGTGTAGGCAGGCCCCAGGCGTCTGCGGAGCAAACGGTTGGATGGCATTGGCTGCCGATCCCTGATTCGTGGATTTTCCATCGTGTGTGGTTGAGGTCGCCCGCGGGGGTGCGAAGTTGGTCGCGCGTCGCTCGCCGCGGTCGGGGCCAGAGCGGTTGTTCTCCAAGGGGGCGACGCGAGGGCGCGAGGGCGCGAGGAAAGTCGCGCTTCGCGGGGTGCGATGCGCGATGCTGCGTGACCTGGGCGGTGGCGTGCCCGGTGTGGCGCGCTGCGCAGCGGGCCTGGCCTTCGGCGTTGCTCGCCCGTGGTGGGCGGCCAGGGGGAGGGGCGGCGGGCTCACCAGAGGAGGCTCCCGAAAGTCAGCCGCGCGCAGAGGGGGGGTGGAGGGAGGGGGGACGGCTTCCTAGAAGCACCCCTGCTTCTCAGAGGGCGCGGGCCTCATCTACAGATGTCAGGCCGGCGCCTTCTGAGAGGCAGCCTCCTTCTAAGAAGCCCTCCCCCCTCGCTCCACCCCCTTGTGCGCGCCGCCAGGAAAGGCCGGCGGAAGGCGGCGGGAGCGAAAGCGCGCGGTCGGCATTTTGGGTTCCGGGGCTTCTGAACCAGGCCGTGTCGTGTCGGCGTTTTCAGCTGAACGTGCCTCGAATTGGAACGCCGCGGGCGCGCCCATTCTTTTACGACGCCTTTGGTGGAGCACGCAAAACATTATTGAAGCGCTCCGCCGAAATATGATGTTATGCGGGTGCGACAATGAGCTCATCAGCTCAGTGCGCCCGAGGACGAGGGCGAGGAGCATAACAAGGAAAACAAGGCATCGAGGGGGACCAGCAGGATGAGCAGGAATTTGATCAGGGAAGTCACAACTGGCTTTCGTGCGCCCTTGTCCTTTCGTACACGCTCAGCGTCCCCCGTGTGCGTTGCACGCGTCTCACGCACTGTTTCGACGTGGCACCAGGTGGGACAGCATGGATCGTAGAGCTATTATGGGCAGCCATGGAAGAGGGAAGAGAGAAACAAAACAAAACAGGAAGCGGAAAGAGGGAACAAGGAGGGGGAGGATCATTGGAGGTTGAGGCATGGGACAAATGCGAGAGAAGGTGAGGAGAGGGAGCTACAGTTGGAGGGACAAGCGAAAACGGAGGAGAGATAAGGGAGGAGAAAAAGGGGAGCGAGGAGCGAGGGGAATACGGAAGGGACCCGAAACCAAACGTATTTCTCGATGTGGTCCATACGTTTGTTTGTAGCTTTCGGCGTCCATGGGCCAGTTTCCGGCTCCGGGACCGTCAAACGCGAATCGTGATGAAAAGGCGGCCCTGGGAAAAGGGTCGGGATTTCGAGGGAATTGAACACGTCAAGATGTCGGATGCGTGGCCGTTCTGGCTCACAGGGCGCATTTTTTTCGTTCGCAGGACTCGCGCCCACCCCTGCCTGGTGCCCCTCTCGACGTGGCTGAGAAGCCCATGGAGCAGCCCAGGGACATCCAGGGCGACAGAGCACGAGGCCTCCAGCTGGTGGAGCTTCGGCCGATGCCGGTGAGAGCACGCGTCCACAATACTTTTCTCGAGTTTCCAGACTGCGGCAGCTCGGACATGGAGGACGACGATCGCTTGACAATGCAGAAGTTCCGGCGCCAGCATACAGACAGCGCCTTGATGGAAGTCTGTTCTTCGAGGATCACGCTCGTGCAGGACAACCAGTGTTTGCACCGGGGACGGATGGAGAAGCCCGAGCCTGAGCCTGTGCCCACAGAGGACACGCTGCTGCCCGAGACCAATGTGTCGGACAATCAAGAAGGGGATTCTCCGTATGCCGTCTTCACGAACAATTGCAACAGCCGACAGGTCGACGACGACGTGTTGGCGGCGAGGAGCACTGCTGCGTGCGGCGGTGGGCTCAGCGGGCTGGTCACCGTTGTGATCCGCCACATCCCGAGCAGGTACACACAGCAGAAGCTCATGCGGGAGATCAACGCCAGCGGCTTCCTCGGCAAGTTCGATTTCTTCTACCTATTGATGCAACCGAAGAGCCGTCTCAACCGTGGCTTCGCGTTCATCAATTTCAACACCCCACAGGATGCAGAGGAGTTCTATGGAACCTTTAATAAACAGCGGCTGCGACATTTCAACGTGGAGCAGCCCTTGGAGGTGTTGCCAGCCGATCTGCAGGGGTTCGAGGTGAACGTGGAGCACTACATGCGGATGGTGCGGCCAACTGGCAACAAGCGGCAGCTGCAGAATGGAAAGGCGTTGTTCTTCAGGCAGATACCTGAACATCTGGCCAACTTGGCAGGCGGGGTCGACACAGCCGACCCTGAGCCGCCCTTCCCCCCGAAGCTCCGCCCTGCTCGCCTGGCCATGCCCGTGGCACCCATGAAGCACGGCGCCATGGTGCAGCGGTTTTGCGTCACCTGCGGCGAAAGAAAGCAGCCAGACCACGCGTTCTGCACCCATTGCGGGGCCCGGGCGCCGACTATGCTATTGCAGCAAGGCGTTCAGCCCAGCGCCTTCCAGTGAATAGTGAAGCGTGCAACCCGCAGCAGTTCCACCGCACTCAGAAGGACACTTCATGAGAGTCCGTGTGCACTGAGCCCCTTAACGACTTTGTCACTGCTTCGGGGGATGCAGACGGAGAAATGGAAGCAGGAGAAGGGTGAGAGGGGGATGATGCCGCCAGCTTGCATCACGGCGACACCGCCGAGACGCAGGCGGTGTCATCTGCAGCATATTAAAGTTCTGCTGCAATCTGCGTCGGTGCAGCCGATATGTTTGGAGCGATTCGCGCTCGGCTACCACAATTTGTACCCCCGTCCTGTGTACAAGGTTCCACCGTACCCGAGAGCCACCTGGGGAGCACGATTCAATTACACATTTGCGTTGTTTCAGAGCCTGGCAACCGCTTCTGGCGCTTCGACACGGCAATGGTTCCACCCTCGTCAAAGATTTTGAAGGTGCATGGCACAGCTGTGCCATCGGCAGTCTTCCACCATTGTACAAACCTTCGCGACCTGGCAGTGCATGGGCGGTCTTGAGGCCCCACCGCGCAGGCCGATCTGTTTCACACCGCCCCTCTGACATTGCAGGGCGCGACAAGTTTCCCGGTGAAGGAGCACTATGCCCCTCGCCTGTGGGTTCCCCAGGGGGCTGACACGGTGCCTCTCAGCAGCGGCGCACTCAGAGACCCTGGGGGAGGTCCCCCTGCGGCGCAGCAGGAGGCGTGCAGTTTTGATTTCCCTTGGAGCGCAGGAGCTTTGATTTCCCTTGGAGCGCAGGAGCTTTGATTTCCCTTTGAGCGCTCGAGCTTTGATTACCCTTGGAGCTTGCTTTCCCTTGGAGGCGCAGCAGGACTTTTGATTCCCCTTGGAGCCGAGAAGGCGGCCTCGCGGCTGGAGCGTTCTGCTCGCGGCGGAGGCGGGGCCCGAGATCCCTCGGCGGGGGCCCTTGCGGGCCTGCGCTGCGGTCGCCGGCCCCGGAGGTGAGATCGCTCGTGCAGCGTTCCGTTCTGGACGCCCGAAACGGGCACGGAAAGAAGGGGTGCAATGCCCGGCAGCAGTTCCTGTTCACTTTGAACCGGACTCGCTGGCCACGCCGCCGCGGCCTGCGTCCATTCGAGACAGGGGGCCGCCTGCCCAACAGCGGCCGCTGTTGGTTTGGGACAACATTCGTTGTTGGGCATTGTGCCCATTCTTTCCGTACCCATTTCGGGCGTCCAAATTCCGTGCTGACCAGCCGCGGCCCTGCATGGTTGGGTCGTCTCTGCTGCCGGCGCACCGCCGCGTACAGGCGGCCCGGATTGGTAGGTCGACCCTGCCAGAGCAAGGGTGCCTTTGTGTCCTGTGCCTCGCAGCCCATGCTTCCTACATTCCTGCGGCCCTCGGAAGGGTCTTGTGTCCTCTCGCGTGTCCTGTCCAATCGAGTCCGACTGTAGGGGGGGCCTCCTTCGGGTGTTGCTCGACGTGCCCCTGGCCCAAGGTGCCCCCAGGATTCCCAAGGAGGCCCCAGACGCTTCCAGAGCACCCCTCACGAGGTGAAGAGGGCCCCAGGGACTCCAAAAAGTCGAGCGAAGAGCTGGGGGCACCTTGGGCCAGGGGCACCTTTAGCAACCCCCGACTCTTCGTGGTCTCCCGTGGGCCTCTGCTTTGCTGCAAGACTTCTGGTCTCATCGGGGAGTCTGGGGAGCCTGTGGGTGTCTTCGGGCCACGCAGGGAGCTCTTCGGGCTGCGGAGGAGGGCCCTCTTGCGTTCTTGGGCCTCGTGGGCAGCCCTGGGGGGGATTCTCGTGTCCTCGTAAGCCTTCAGAAGCCACCCGGGGTAGGAAGCAGGAACAAAGCACACACACTGACACATGTTGCGCTTTTACTCGTGCAGGGGCCGTTGCCCTCTCGAGGCACCTCTTGGGGAGGCTCCTGTGCCCCTTGGGGCCCCGTGGGGCCCATGGCGCTGTCTTGGAGGCCAGTTGGGTCACCCTGGCGGTCTTCTGGCCGAAGATGCCAGCCACATGGATCCCACGCTGCGAGCTTTGAAGATGGTGACCCCGGCGGCCCAGAGAACAGTCAGGTACAGCATGGCCCAGATGGTGAGGCGCGGCGCCGGGTTCACGCCCGCCCCCGCGCACGCCGAGGGCGCGCCTCGGCGCACGAAGCCGCCGAACACGGCGGCTGTCGCGACGACGAGCGCCTCACGTGGGTGCCGAGCATTTTCCTCAGGTGGAGGGCAAAGGTTGAAATCTGAAATGCCGTTTCGATGAATTTTTGAGGCTTGAGCCTGCAAGAGGTGAATCGCGAGGCGGCCTGGTCCTCGAGGCGCAGAAGCCCACTGCGGATCTCACCCTGAGCCCTCCACCCTCAGAAAGTGCTCGGGAGTGGCGCGGCTCCGCCCATCGAAGCCTTCCTCGGTGCGAGTGCCCTGCCGCAGCAGGGCGACGGCAGTTTTCGTTTCGGCCTGCCCGCAGCGGGCCAGAGGGCCCCTCTCGGAGCGCGCCGCGGAGGGCCTGTGCGCTCGGCCTCTCTCCAGCGCCGCAGAGGTCGCCGCAGGTGCCCCCCCGCTGTTCCTCGGGGCGCGCCCCTGCCTCTCACGAGTGCTGCCGCGGTTCGAGGGAAGCATCGCGATGCTCATGGCAACGCCGTCGCGGGAGCTCGTCGGCGCCGATCTTGGTCATGGCCCATGGCGGCCGCCGCCGATTTGCGAGCATAATCCGCCGCGAGGCAACGATGATGTGCAAGGACGATGACCAGGATGGACGCTGGCCACAACAGCCACCGACGTTTCCGCGAGTCTTGGTCATGGGCATTGGTTTCTTTCCCTCCAGCGTTTTTTGGCTTTGCGTCTCTGCAGTCTTACTACCCCTAGCACTTCCCTAG